CTACCCCAGACGATGTTTGGTTCTTCCCCTGCCATAACCGACCTCCCATTGCCGATGGACTATTTTGATTTGCCGACAGCAACTGTTGCCCCAATAGCCATGGTGGCTGATCTACCTCCAGGTCCATCCATCGCCAGCACGTTCATCTGGCGAACACCCCTGTCATCCAACTTGAGCGAGAGTCTGCCCGGCTCAGAGCGTCAGTTTGCCGAAGCGGTTGTTCTGGACGTTGGTCGCTGGCAAAAGGAGTTGGACCGCTTCGAGCGATTGCAATTCCTCCGCCACGCACCCCATGACCTGGGGCCAGAGTTTCAGGATCTGCGACCCCTGCTAGAACGGTCACGCGAGTTGGAGAGGGAAAGAGCGGCCCTGGTCCGGTCGACTGGCACCACGTCTTGCGTGGACTGTCGCTGTCTGGTTCCTGACCGTGGGACCTGCGATCGCCTGGTAGAACACTATATGATTACCTTCGAGTCGGTGGTCCGCATTTTCCACGTTCCGTCCTTTCTTCAAGACCACCGAAATTACTGGCAAGACCCGCAGAGTGTGAGCGACTCCGTCGTTTGGAAACTTCTGCTGGTCATGGCAGTAGGCGTATTTGTTTCCCCTGGCTCTATAGAGCTGCAGTCGCAAGCCGCGGCGTGGATCGTCGGTGGTCAGCGGTGGCTCGCCCGTCGCAGCCTTGAACGTGTCCAATTTGATCTTGACACGCTTCAAATCAGTTGTCTGTTATTTGTGAATAGCCAAACCTCCCGAGTAGGAATAGAACCGGCTGGCCTTTTTAAGGAGACTCTGATCTGCATGGCAATGAAGCTGGGGCTCCACCAAGAGCCTAGCACGCATTTCCCCACCATGTGCGCCAGCGAGGCCGAGATACGACGCAGGCTGTGGGCCACTGTCCTTGAAATTGCCATTCAGTCCAGTTTTGACTCGGGCCTTCCTCCGTTGATCTCCTCCGAGGGCTATGACTGTACCGCGCCATCCAATCTGGATGATGCTGATCTGCTGGGTAATGGCTCTTTAGTACCCCAACCACTTACTGTCTTTACCCAGTCCACTGTATCGATGCTACTTGCCAACACACAGCGTATTCGTCTGCGTATTTTGCACCTCGTTAATGCGCCAGGAACCACTATTACCTACCAGGATGCGTTACAGTTGACAAGGGAGCTTCATGATATTAGCAATGCCAATCTCGCCTGTATGCAATCCCTGACCGCAACATCGACCGGACCCACGTACTTCCACATCAAAATTCTGGATATCTGTACCCGTCGCTTTCTGCTCGCGTTACATGCTCCGTTTGCTGGCCAAGCCAAGGCCGACCCGTGTTACTACTACTCCCGCAAGGTGCGTATGGAAGCAGCAGCCTTGCTGCTCTCCCATCCACTGCCGCAAATCGATGGCGGTGAGCCTACCCTAGTCGCCGACGACCACTACACACAACTCCTGCTGTGGGGAGATGAGATCTTTACCAACGCGCTCCGACATGCTGCCAGCACCCTCTGCCTCGATCTAATCGACAGCGTGATGGAAAATGCTTTCCCAGTGACCGATCGTGACTGCCATGATCAGCTGTACCAGGCTGTGCAGGACGCGATTGCGGTGTTTGAGCGCCGCGCGCATCGAAATCCGTCCACTCATAACGACTATGTTTTCTTTTCTTGTGCAACCGCCCAGATCCATGCCATGCGAGCGAAGAGACCCGTCGACTGCGCCATCCGCCAAGCAGCCAAGCGGAGTCTGGAACGTTGCTGTGCCGCATTGGAGGAGGCCCTTGGTCGGGGCAGTAGTCGTCGGTGCGAACGGACATCGCTTCTCCTGTCGCCATCAAATTCGGAAGATCCGTCCTTGTTCCCCGTTTCCACAAATGAGGCTGACTTTGGATTTTGGAACAATCTAATATCACGTCCCCCGCAATTCACTGCTACTAGCTGATATTTTGCTTTCATTACTCAATGTGTAGATGCATCCAATTTGAACGAGAGGTTCTCAATACCGATGGATGAGAAATTAAATTAGAAGGGAAATATGTGCTTTCTTTACTTGTCCTCACGACCCGACTTCCCCCTTTGCATGTCCCACAGCCCGTTCCCGATTCCTCCATTCCAATCCAGTACTTACACCTGTGATTTAAATCTTCGCAGCAATCCCCCATCCAGAAAGACGTACGCGTAAGGCAGCAAGGCCGATGGTACCCAGAATCAAGCTCACGCCGGAAAATACACACGTATAGGTGTAGCTGCCTCCAGAGTCGGCGGCAATCGCGCCCCCAATAGGCGGACTGGTCAAGGTTCCCACGGCAGCGAAGGCCAAGACAGTACCCATTCGAAATCCCAACTCGTTCATTGGGGAGATGGAGACAATCAAGATGGGTCCGAGGCCGATGATCGCACCCGAAGTGATACCAAACAAGGTTGCAAAGGTGATGAGCGCGCCATTGCCTCGGGCAGGAATCCACAATGCCAACACCAGGATAGCTGACAGCGTAGTCATAACGAGCATTACATTAAAGCGACCGATCCTGTCTGCGACATAGTTGGGCACGGTACGACCAAAGAAACTGGCGCCATTGAGAATTGGAACTAACGACCACGCCAGGTGCGAGGACATGCCGTAGTGGATGGCTTCGACGACGATATAATCAAATGGAATGAACAGTCCCCCTGGAAAGAATGAATCGTTAGTAGTGCAATGTCTCTTGTCTCGGTATGGATGTGCTGTACTCACAGTACATGAAAAAACTAGCCGTGCACAGGATGCCGAAGTTGAGCTCCCGCAACGGTCCGAGATAGCGTACCACAGAGAATGGACGTGGTGCGTGTGAAAAATTGGACGAGATCGTGAGATTGGCGATCACCAGCAGACCCAGGATCATAAAGGCGCAGATCCGCATCGTCCAGCCAAAGCCCACCTGTGGCAGCAGATGCTGCACCATGAGCGGAAAAATGACGCCGCCCAATGACGATCCTGCCACTGTCAAGCCCCCAACAATTCCCCGCTTCTGGCGAAACCAGGTTTGGGGCTGGAGTTTCCTGGTTAGGAGGCTGTTCTTCTCTCATCGGGGATTGGTTTGGTTTGAAACTTACTGCACTCATGGCCGGGGTGAAGATCAACGAACAACCAATCCCAGATACCACAGACTGGCTCAGCATGAACTGATAATACTTATGGGAGAGACTGGCCATCATCAACCCAAAGACATGCAAGACTGATCCAATTGCAATAGGCACGCGAGGGCCGTAGCCGTCGAACAGGGTGCCCGCCACGGGGGAAGTGAAAAGCATGAAGAAAACTGGGACTGTTAGCTCATCTTAAGTAGCACACGATCACATTATACAGTACATACATTCCATGGACGTGATCCAGGATACATCCGAGCTCGAGTAGTTCTTCAACTGGTTCGTTTCGTACTCAGCCTGGAAGAGTGCAATGCAGTTGACCCAGCCGAATGAGACAAAAAGAGCAACCGATGCGCCCAAGACTGTCAGCCATGCCTGGAGGCCGCCTTCTGGAACACTTGGTGGTGCGGCTTTGGGGGCCTCTGCTGGAGGCTGCTGGAGGCCCTTCTCCAGACTAGTATCTTCCATGGTGAAGGAGTAGCGCGTTGGTAGGTGGGTGGGATCGAGATTAATTATTAAGTGGCTGCTTATGTGAACTGGCACCTGCAGCAACGGAATTCCCAACTCCTTTTAAAGAGAGCTTGTTCTGGTGACCCTAGATTATTCTCGGCCATTTCACCGGAGTTTAGGGTTTCAAGCATTCATGGTTTCCGGAGTTTGGAGGCTCCGGAGTTAATGTGACCGGTTTGATGATAAAGTTCGGCCCGAGCCAGACGGTGTTTTGGCATGTTTGCCCCTCGTCACTCGGGCTTCATCTGACCTCACCTAACTTACTGTGTCCCCTTTGCTCTTCCCATCGCCTATAGCCAGTAGATGGTTATGGCGCAGGATCAGGATAATCCCTTGCAGACCGCCTCTCCACCGCGCAAACGTCGCCGGCCACCCAAGTCCTGTGATCCGTGTCGTCGTCGCAAAGTCCGTTGTGACCGGGAATTCCCTTGTGGCCAATGTGAGCGTGCCAGAACTTCGCTACAGTGTTTTTACCGCCCTGCGGTCGCTGTCAGCAGCCCCTCCGGTGGTGAATTATCCCAATTCACGGCTCCTTGCGTGCTGGAGGAACTTACGCCTCCTTCCCAAGCCATTGACCCGCAGACACATGGCCGTCCGCCTGCACCCACGTCGCAATCACAGCCTCAGGACCATGATCAGTATCAGAACAAGATTGTCCAAGATTTGCAGCGCCGTCTTCGGCGGTTGGAAGAACGGCTTCCTGTCCCTCCGGTATCTCGAGCCACGACCGGTCCCAATCCCAGCGTCACTCAGACCCAGGCTCTGCGACATCTTCATGACCGTGTCCTCGGGGCCGAAGAACAGCTGTCTGATGCATCCCGTCCCAGCCCTTCTGTCAACGGATGGGCCATTCCGGCCACTCTGCCTCGTCTGCGTGTCACCCCTGACAAGACGAAGCTATTTGGCCCTAGTCACTGGTTACATACCGCCGAGAAAGTAAGATGCATCGAACTTGATTCCCCCACAAAAGCCTTGTCGCTGACTAATTTTAAATCCGCAGTTTCAAGTCCTTGGCAAATTTGACGCCAAAGAAGTAGAGCCGTCGCTGCAGGATGTGGATGCCAGATCGGAGTTCGCCAGCATCTTTAAGGACTGTCGGCATCTCCGACAGGCCATCAAGGCCCAAGAGTCGGTTCGCCTCAACCATCCGGTTCCAGACTTGCTGAGCACGCTCCCAAGCCGAGCAGTGTGCGATGTTCTGGTTGATGCCTATCTCCGCACATTCGAGCTGATCTACAGGATTGTTCACATCCCATCCTTCTGGGAAGAGTATCGTCTGTTGTGGGCCCAGCCGCAGTCGACGTCAACCCACTTCCTAATGAAATTGGTCTTGATCCTCGCCCTGGGTACCACCTTCTACCCCGATCGAAGCAATAGGGTGCACCTCCGCCGTCTCGCACAAACATGGATCTATGCCACACAATGGTGGCTAGTCGGACCATCGGAAAAGTCGACCATTAATCTAGATGGTCTGCAAGTCGGGTGTCTCTTATTGCTGGCCCGCCAGACGAATAGCCTTCCGGGCACGAGCTGGGTCTCTGCGGGGTCCGTGCTGCGTATGGCCATGGCGATAGGACTGCACCGCACTCCCGACCTCTTTCCCGCGCTGTCCGTGTACCAGTCCGAAATGCGAGACCGACTCTGGGCGACAGTACTAGAACTGACTTTAATGTCGTCGCTGGATGCCGCCATGCCCTTACCGTTCGCCCTACAGGACATTGACCGCACTGCGCCGTCGAATCTGGACGACGAGCAGTTCGACGCCGAGACCGAGACGCTTCCCACTCCGCAGTCGAGTCAGCACTTTAGCGACTCGGCTGTTCAGATTCTGTTGCTCAAGTCTCTTCCCGTGCGAGTGGAAGCAGTCCGGCTTGTGAATAACCAGCACCGCCAGGAACTGTCATACGAAACCGCGTTGAGGCTGGGAAATGAACTGCGCTCGGCGTGCCGCGATGTTGCCGCTTTGTTCCAGACCCGTCAGAATCAGCCGAGAAATGCGGACCGCACTCTGACCATGACCAACTTTCATCTCCGGTTTCTCGACACGTATCTACGTCGATATATCTTGTTCCTGCATCGCCCGTTCATGATCCAGGCTCGCAAAGATCCACGATTCTACCTATCCCGGAAGGTGTGTCTGGAGTCCTGTATCGTGGTTGCATCTTATGCCGATCAACTCAATCTACCGTCGGACACCTTGGATGACCTCTCTCACCTGACCATTGTAGGCAGAAGTTCCTTTAAAGGAGCCTTGAGTTTCGATGTGATAACCTCCCTGGGGCTGGAAATCGTCACGCAACTCGAGGAGGAGGCTTCTACGCGGGCCTTGGGATCTTCTCCCCCGTTTGTGACCGATTCACTGGATGAAATGGCCAAGGCTCATCGAGCACCCTTGATCCGTAGCCTAGAACACATCCAGGAACAGCTACTGCAGATCATCGCTCTTGGAAATCCCAGTCTGAAGCGATACAACTTCCTGTCCGCCATTTTGAGTCAGATCCGTGCAATGGAGTCGGGCCAGCCGATCCAACCCGCCATTTACGAGAGCATTAAAGAAAGCCTCAAGAAATGTTATATCTTGCTGCAGGCCTCTCACGCAGCCAGTTCGCCGCAGGCATCGGTAGAGTCGCTGACTATGGGGACAGACAGTCCTCTGGGGTTTGATTTGGATGCTTCAGTAAGTAAATTTTTTTTTTCCCCTCTGGTCTTCCTCGTTGTCCACCTCCCTCCTCATTTTATGTGACTGCCATCGGACTTACAGTTTAGGACCCTGCCTTGGGATTGGAAATTCCCAGCTTACTGTTTTTCCCGGGCATTATGGATACGTCGAGCATCGAGTGGCAAGGCATAGACGTAAACAAACAATGCTAAAAACCCAGCCATCAAACAATGCAATTCACCACCGAGCTGGCTGCCCATGAGATCCGTTACTTTTAAATGCATCTATCCGAACCAGGACCCTATTTACATGATTCAGCTAGCTGATTTTTCTCTCTGGGTATAGTCGCTCTTCGATCCCCTGCCATCCTACATACCTAAAATTTTCATTGAACTTTGGAGGAGCGGACTACAGGTTCTTTTTTGCCGTAAAATTAGCCAATATCGATAGATTTTAAAGGTGAAAGGTGCGGCGGTATATCCATGGTAGCCTTACAATTCCCTTGGATTTTGAAGAACCTCGCGGTTAAAATAACTTCCGTGGACATTGAATGATCAAAGTTGTAAAAAAAAAATTCCGATTTCCATGCCAGTACCAATTGATAAAGCGAATCAAACGACAGTAAGGGAGAACGTATGGCATCATAATTGAGAGACTGATTCATACTAAAGGAGAGTTCTCTATGTTGTACGGGAGGCGACTTCCTCTAGTTTCACCCCTTAGTTGTAAGTGTAATCATGACGGCTATATCTTTTGATTCCGAAGCATTTGTTTCGACGGAGATGAATCCTATCTGATTTCTCTAGCAACTCATAAAAGTGCCGAGCAGCAGACCTAGCTAATCTAGCCAGTTCACACCCAAATATTCTAGAACAGTGGCTCATCTACAAAAGCAATGGGGTCATGTCGCACTCCGACCCCATCAAAGCTTACGTACATGTCAGATTATCAGAGCGTGCGCGATAACGATGCACAACGCAGCGCTTCTTGCAGAGAACACCAATCTACATACAGCGAATGAGAAGAAACGCTAGAACAAAACACGCAGTTAAAAGATTCAGATAATTCATGGAGAGGGCCTACAGCTAGCTCGGCAGCTCAACCAGCCAGAACAACGTGACCTGGTAGTATCGTTAAAATTAGGCAGACCAGCCGGCTACTAGAGCTCTGTCAAAGGTATAGTGGATGCCGTAAAATTGGCCACCAGATCAATTCGTATACCAGTCGCTATTTCTAGCCGAATTAATAGGTGTAGGTTGAGATATCATGATTTAAAATCTTGTCATGGGGCATGTTCGGGGTGACCGGAAATCACGTTGACGATCTGACCATAAAACAAGAAACGATCTCGGCCTCGGCGCGTGCGAGTGGGGGAAGTTCGGTTTACGGTGCTCGGTGTTCGGTGTCCAGTCTTATCCCCGGTGCTACAAAACACGCCCAGGTGACCAGCATTCTGCTTATATCAGTTAAAAACGATCATCCTCAATCACATATCTCAGTCCTCTATTTCCATCTACTATAGACAAAAATGGCCTCTTATGCAATGCGCGGTTTTCGTTCCCGGCGGACCTTCTTCCGGAGTTTCGTCCCTCCGCATGCCAACGGCGTTCGCGGTGGAATGGGTGGCCTACTCAAAGTCGCTTTCCTGGGCACCTGCACCTACTTCATCGTGAAAAAACTCTCCCTGTATGCTAGGTACCCGATTTGCTGTCCTATCATTCCGATTGATACGTGAACCGCAGAGAAATAATTGAGCTAACAGCTTCTCTAGCGCAAACCAGTCTCCTCGTGCCGGCTCCAACGGTGGCTCTCAGCCTGTCCAGCCAGTTTCATAGCAAGTTGCACATGACTGGCTTGGTATTCGGCATCAGTACCTTGTGCAGTCAGCCCTGAACTCTTCCAGCGCATTCCTGGTAGAGGGGGCTAATGCGTTGAGAAGAAGACGTTTCATTGAGTGGTGACATGGGGGAACGATTCACATTGCAAGAATTACAGCTCATTAAAGGTGGAATTTGGAATCCTTGTTGTGAGGCCTTCTGGCATTATGTTAAGGCCATGGACAGAGCCACTCGTTAAAAATCCTCAAAATGTTTCTCTGAACAGTTATCCCTTGATTTCTCTGTATTTTACCTCGTCCTCAGTTTGTTAGGAATCTTAAATTCATTAGTCACTAAGCAGAAAGGAACGTTCAAATACAAGCAAATACAACCATCAAAGAATCTCTCACGGCCTGTTGGATCTGTGCCGCATGGACATCATGAGCGTTTCCTTATCACGACGCGCCAGACGCCAAAAAAAAACCCCCCCAGAGGACATGCCTCGACATATCTGTACCAAACCCAATGACAGACTTCTTCCTCACATTATTCTGATGCGTCTCCCAGATAGGGAAATGTGACCATTTCTCCCCGCTCTACAATGCCTTCCAGGTACGTCGTAATCAACGGATCAATGCCCGCCTGCAACGCCTTCACGATCCACTCTCCAATGGCCAACTCTGCAAATTCGTGCCCATGCACCTGCTCCATATGTGCTCGATACTCCTGCACTGGCACTTTGACCTTTCCAGAATGATGTCGGAAGCGAACTGGACCCGCAGTCGGGGGCTGTTTCGCAAAGGAAACGACCACCTCGGCGATCTCTCGCGCCGCATCCTCTACGGGCTGGAAGTCAAGATATCCCTCAACACGATCAAACCGTGGCACAGTCCGCATCAGAGTCGAGTATTTCAGAATAGCGTTGAGAGCGTCGGAGTTGGGTGCTTCTGCACCGACCACCACACACGGCCGGTGCACTTGGATCGAAAGAGGAACGCACGCAGCCAGATTCTCCAAGAAGCACTCGCTCGCCCATTTAGACGCCGTGAACCCCTCCATGCCGTCAGTTCGGGGTGGAAAAGAGGCCATAGACACCGGGTGTGGTGCAGTATTGCCGGATAGAAGACCGACGCGGTTGGAGGACAGATATAATAGAGGGATGGACCAGCGCACGGCGAACGAGGCAAGCAACTGCGTAGAGTAAACATTCGGAGCCCGCAGCGAAGAGTAATGGTTGAGACAGTGGCCACTAGCCCCCGCATGGACGATGACATCTATCGTTGAATGCAGTTGCTCACAATCTGCTGGGCTCAGACCCAAGGTTGGTGACGACAAGCTGCCGGTGTAAGCAAAAATCTTGTCAGAATGGAGCAGCTTCTGTTCTTCATCCGGCAGTACTGCCACACAATGAATCTGCTGGATGCTTTCGTCGGAGACTAATGTCTTCAACAAGGTCATGCCAAGGAAGCTCGTCGATCCAGTGAGAAGGACATTGATCCTGTCGCGCACAATGTGTTGCGACCACTTCCTTTGACCCTCGCGGGCTGCGGCCAATATGGTGTCTGGCACAGCCGTCTCGCGAACCCAGTCAATCTGTTCTTCAGCTGGCGCGTCTCGCCAGCTGTCGATACAGGCGGCCATCTGTCGCAGGCTACAAGCTTGGTACAGTTCATGCGTCGAGATGGAAACTCCCAAGGCCTCCTTGATAGCACCCTGTAATTTCATCAAGCGGAGTGAGTTCCCTCCTTCAAGGAAGAAGTCTGATCTGGGGGATAGGCGCCGGGTATTATTTAGGTCGGGCAGAACTTTCTCCCACAATAGTCGTAGTTCGCCTTCACGAAGAGTCATTTTTTCCTCCGACGGGGCACTTATCTCTCGCTGGGGGAGGGGAAGTTCCTGCAGGGCCTTTCGATCGACCTTGCCGTTTACATTAGTCGGCAGATCATCCAAAACAATCAATCTGGCGGGACACATGTACTGGGGAAGGTGAAGACGGGCGATGAGATGTTGGAGCTCTACATCCGTGGCAGTTTGGCAAGGAGCAAAGATGGCATGTGCAACCAACACATCCCCCCGTGCGGTCACCACGACGTTAGAGAGTAGGCCCCGTGCAATTTCCAGAATGGCGCCTTCAATCTCTTCAAGCTCAATGCGGACCCCATGAAGTTTGATCTGTGTGTCGCCATCGAGTCGTCCCAGGAATATTAATGTACCATCCGACAGCAAACGTCCCTTATCCCCTGTACGATACATTGTCTGGGTCCGGTCCTCCGGGGCTGCTGCAATGTCGCGAACAAATTTCAGTGCTGTCTGATCGGGTAGATCAAGATACCCCAGGGAGACACCGGCACCACCAATGCAAATCTCTCCTTGCATTCCTACGGGAAGAGGTTGACCTTCGCGATCGAGGATACAAACCGAGTAGTTGGACAGGGCCTTGCCCACTGCATGCGGAGACTCCGCTGTCTCGTTGGGCCGGAGCGAAATGCGTTGAAAAGTGGCTGCCGCGGTGATTTCGGTCGGGCCATAGCAATTCGTTAGCGTTAGAGAGGGTAGGTCCAGGCGCCGGAACTCGCCTTTCAGTTGATCGGAGACGGGCTCCCCGCCCATGCAGGCATGTCGCCAGGAAAAGTGCTTCTCCAGTGACCCGGTCCCATAACGCAGCCACATGAGATACTCGGATGGCGTGGCGATGGTCAGGCCGATGCACTCGCGGAGCATGATTTGTGTAATCTCGACTGGATCTCGTCGTGCCTCAATCGGGGCAATCACCAGCGTTCCGCCATTGGCTAGCGCACAGAAAGTCTGGATGAGCGACATATCAAAGCCCATTGAACTTTGCTGGAGAACTGATTCCTGCTGAAGATCCAGTGCCTGCGCTTTAAGGGCCAAATGATTCACGAAGTTGGCCTGCGACAGAAGAATGCCCTTTGGCATGCCCGTGGAGCCGCTCGTAAAGAGCAAAATGGCGGGACTGTCAGGCTCCGCGAGACAGGGAACAAGCTCTTGATTGGCTTGAATCCTGTCGATCCTTACTGACGGAAGAGCATATCCCGCATCACCAGTGAGATTTTCGGCAAGGCCTTCTGTTGCCGCATGGCAAAGTAGCAGGCTCGGTTGACAACTCTGGATCATGGACCCATGTCTGGTGAACGGGAGACTGACGTCTAGAGGCACATATAGAGCACCCACATGAAGAACAGCCAGCATTGCGGCGATAAAGTCGACCGACGGCTCACAGAGAACTGCAATGCGAGATCCTGGCCTGCACTGGACCTCGCGGATACGACCAGCAATAACGTTGACTCGCTCCTCCAGTTCGGTGTATGTCAAGCTCTGAAATTGGTCTTTGACTGCGACATCCGGTCCGTAAGTCCCGAAGATCAGTTGCATTCGCTGAGCCAATGTTCGAGGCCACTCGAATTTCACTCGTGGACCACGTCCGACCATTAAAGCGGAAGTGATATCTGAAGGATCGTTCAGCCGGCAGTCTTGAACTCTCAGAGTCGGCGTCTTGGTGAAGGTCTGGAGGAGACGCATGTATGTATTCAAGATTAGTTGACACGCCTCGGCATCGTACAGAGATTCTTGGCCCGCAAGCTCCACCATGGAGGTGCCCGAGTTTGTCTCGATGATGCCGAAGCTGAGATCATACGGGTTTTTGGCATCGTGAACATCAGTCATCTTCATGTGACAGTCTCCCAATGGCACTTCCCACACGGCACCCATCCGATAGTTGATGGCCACTTGGAACAGTGGCGTGTGGGCAGTCGATCGAGGGACATTCACTTTGTCCAAAATGGTATCAAACGGGACCGACGAGTTGGTCAGAGCAGCAAAGACCTTGCGAGCGGCAGCCTGGGCCAGTTCCGAAAATTCGTCATTTTTCACAACTTGGAAACGAACGGGCAGCAGGTTCAGAAAGAATCCAATCGTCTCAGCGAAGCGCTCGTCCGTGCGGTTAGCGTCAGCAACACCAATGCAGATGTCGTCCGTTTCTGCGTAGCGAGCCAATAACACCAGGAGAATTGACAAGTGGAAATGGAACGGGGTGATTCGAAGTGCCTGACACGTGCTTTTGAGAGTGGCCATTTGATCATGATCGATCATGCGGTAGACATGGTGAGTTTCATGTGTCTGCATCAGCGGCCGAGTCCGAGTCCGCGCCATCGGTAGCAGAGGTAGAACCTGGGGAAGCGACGCATACTCATCCTGCCAAAACTGCATCTGGCTTTGCATGATCTGGGATTGCTTGGCCTGGAGTTGTTGCGAGGCGTATTCGATGCACGTTCCCGTTTTGCGCTGGGGGGTCTGCATTTGGTAGGTAAAATTCAAGTCGCGCAAGAATAAGTGCAAGCTCATCCCGTCCATGATTATATGATGGTAACCGAGAATTAATGTGTGGCTCTCCGAATCTCGAGAAAGAACCGTCACACCCAAGGTCTGGCCTCGTTCGAGGTCCCATATGTGGGTTTTAAGGTAGTCACGCTCACAGGCAACGTCCGCATCGCTGGAGCTGGCCACATGCTTAAAGAGGTTGACTGGGTTAGACAGGACGCCTTGCATGGGGTGGGCATCCTCTAGGCGGGCGTAGAAACAGGTTCGCAACCCTTCGTGATGCTGCTGCATTGTATGGAGAGCATACTGGAGACGCGGAATACTCAGATTGCCCTTTAACTCATACGTAAAAGTCATGTTGTAGGTGGTAGGATCATTGACATGCTTCGACACAAACCAGATGCGGGACTGGGGGTCGGACATATGTTCCTCTTGAGTGGGAATCGGGGTTTGTAAGTGAGACGCACTGTCAGACCGGTCATCACAAGGCCTGTCGGGGCGCACTTCATCCAATGCTTGACATGTGCTGGACAGATCCTTAGAACAGCCCAGCTCACTTGTAGCCAAGGAATCAACACCGTCCAAGGTAGCATCAAACGAGTCCTCCAAGCTGGAAGTCGAGTCGGTCGAATCTTCTGGATTTGGAGGTATAGCCTGGCTCCTCTCATGCAGATCTGCGAGCAGTCGTTTGGTGGTAGCAATACAAATCTGCGCAACGCTATCTCCACCTAAAATCTTGAGCACGGGAACATCCGTGCCCAACTCCTTGAGGAACCACATCCGGATCTCCACCGCCACGAGAGAGTCAATTCCTAGAGCAAGCAAGGATTTTTGCACTTGAACACTGCCCGCAGACAGTTGCATCATCGATTCCAACTTGGCAGAGAAGGCTTCTTGCACCAGTACGATAGCATCATCCTCTGAATTGGACTTCTCCACTCCCTGCTTGATGCTGCCACTACTAGACTTGGTGAGACGTTGCTCTTGTTGGAGAGCAACAGACGGCTTGAAATGTCCGAACTGAGGATTCTTCGAAAGCCACCACGGTTGGCGGTCTGCGGCGACAGGTTTCGAGAGCGGTTCAATACCCATGATGATCTCGAAGGAATGCTGACTATCTGGCTTGCCAGCCTCAACAGCCTCTGAGAACGCATGGTGAATATCTGTTTCTGATAATGGGAGAAATAGCAAACTGCTCAGATGGTCCTGGATACTGCGATCCTGGCGCGTCACATAACCCACGTCTGTTACTAGTCCGATATGAATCACAGAAGCCGTTAATCCTTGGTCACGTCTCCACGCAGCCAAACCAGTCATGAAGAGATTCGCAGCATGGTAGTTGGATTGACCCGGGTTTCCAACAATGGATCCAAGGGAGGAGAAGAGGATAAAAAAGTCCAAGCAGTCATCTGCGAAAACGTCATGCAAGTTTTTTGTGCCATCAACTTTGGGCTTTAACGCATTATTGAGGCCTTTAGTATCCATATCAACGAACAATTTGTCGGACAGAACCATTGCTGCGTTGCAAACACCCGCAATCGGGGGCATCGTCTCCCGGACTTGAGATACTACGAGCTCGACCGATGATCGACTTGACACATCCATGGATATAATTCGAATGTCTGCACCAGACATGCGAGCCTCCTGGAAGCATTGTGAATCAATCTTGGGGTTCCTGCTAGTGATCACGACATGACGTGCACCTTGTCGAATTGCCCACAGACACACGGACAGACCAAGACCGCCAGCCATGCCCACCATAAGGTATGTCTTGTGAGGTTCAAACAGTCCATGCTCACCCGGATTTTGAATGGGAAGCTGAATTGGGGCGGTGGTATGCCAATCGGTGATGAAGAGGGTGTTCAAAATGGAAGCGTCCATACCTGGAAGGTCCTGAACATTCAACACGGGATAACGGATCGAAAAGTTTGAATTGCTGCCTGCCGTCGAATAAGACTTTGCGAGACCCTCCTGGACCATGATTGATGATAAGAGTCTCGTGTCCAGCTGGTATATCTCACTACTCTTCGGCAGGCAAGGCTCAATGATACGTCGAGCGCTGAATTCTCTCGAGCAGTCTACAAAGATGGCGACGTTATTGGGAATACGGCGCTGAGTGGCACGTACCGATCCCTGTGGGTGAATATAAACCAAGTTGGACTGTGCTGAGGGATGAGATGAAGCCAACAGGATGCCATTCGTCTTGCGCTTTTGCTGACACTGGGTCATAATGGAGGTGGCAAGAACATCTTCTGCATTATAGACAAGCACCGATCCTGAAGAGGGCACTAACAAGTTGCTGATTGCCTGTGCAAATAGATCAGTGGTGACCTGTTGAAGGGTGCTTGGGTTGCAATCCTGCCCATCAATAGGAATTACATCTGCTGCTGATACCTCCAAAATGGATTGATTTTTTGACGACGTGACTAGAACGGGGTTCCTGGATCTCTCGAGGTAGCCACAGCAGATGTAAAGTTCTTGATGAGTTTTGCTTGGAATGTGAAGACAATATTGCACAGTCACTCTCAGGTGGTCACCGTCTTTCTTGCTCGCGATTGTTTCTGTCAGTGCTAATGTGGCTTGATCAGAAACTACTCGTACCGTAGTGTTTGCAATATCTACAGGGCGATACAGCGTGCGCCGGCAAGCGTTATAACGCTCATTCAAGACACGATTTGGCAGAACTCGTGGAATGAGAGTTTTTCCGCCATCAATGTCGATTTCCGGCTCCAGGGTCCAAACCATGTCCCCTACGCCCGATGGCCGGCTGTAAGCAATCTTCAGCCTCACGAGTGCTTCTAGAACTGTCCGAGCCATGCCCGACGGAGCCTCAGCAGACTTCAAGTTGACGTATTGGAGATGGGCATGTGGTAGTTCTTGAAACATAGCACGTGCGATGCCAAGGAACATGTTAGACTCTGGACTGGCGGATTGCCCGTTGCGAACGACCCAGATGACATTTTTTGCATTGATAAGTAGGGTCTGAACTAGCCTCAGACGAAGGTCATTCATAGCGACAGAGAACAGGGGACTGTCCAACTCGTGGAGACAGATGACATCGGTTCCCGGCTTAAGAGAGGAGTTGTTCAGACTATCCAGGTCGGTGATTACTTGGACCTGACGCTGCCAGGACCTTGGGATCATTTTCTGTAGTTCCTTGGACATTTTAGACACAGCCAACGTCCTTCCGCCAATGACCAGCAAGGGTGCCTCTTGGGCCAGGTCGGCCATTGCCGGCAGAGGGTCACGCAGCCCAAGGTACCTGTCATCCACGGCTTGACTAACGAGCAGAGAGGTGCAGTGTTTGCGACCGTCGGCCAGATCATGATAGACCAAGTCCACCCCGGAGAAACCAGTTGCCTGTAACATTAAATCCCATTCCATGGGTGTGATGCCGGGATGCAACCGCCGTCCATCTTCTTCTCCTAACCACCATCCAGGCAAACCGCCCATTATAAAGGTCAGGCGTAAGACTTCATGACCGGTAACCTCCACGAGCACTAAGAAGCCACCAGGCTTCAAGAGGGATCTGACATTTTGCAAAGTCGCGTCGAGCTTTCGCGTTGCGTGCAAGACGTTTGCAGCAATGATGATGTCGTAACTTCTTTCTGTATACCCTTGGTTGACGACAGGCTTTTCAATGTCTAGCGTCTTGAAGACCATTTTCTGGCTGTGTTCACAAAATCTCTCGGTCGCATCTTCAAAGAATCCAGTGGAGATATCGGTGTAAGTATAGGACTCGTATGCGTTCCCGATGGCGTTGAGAACACTGCTGGTCTGCACGCGGTTAGCAGATCGAGATTTCAGCCACAGGTGTTAATCTAGGAGATGCAAACCGTGGCTCCCGTGCCGGCTCCGATCTCCAAGATCTGAGTCCGTGGGAATTTGTGAGTAATCTGCTGCAACGTGGCTCTAATCCCCTCGTTGGCGACCATAAAGCCGCAGCCTCCCATATAGAAACGACTCAA